CACACACACACACACACACACACACACACACACACACACACACACACGAAGCCCTCTTCTGGCCTCCATGAGCACTGCACTCATGTAGCTTATAGCCACATGCATACACACACAAACACACACACACACACACACACACACACACACACACACACACACACGCACATAAAAAAACAGAAATAAAAACACAACCCAGACCTCCTGGCAGTCCCCAGGCACGGTGGTGTACACCTTTAATCCTAGCATTCAGGAGGCAGGAGCAGGCAGATGCGGATGCCGAAGTTACAGGTCAGCCAGGGCTATATAGAGACATCCTAGTTATAAAAGGAAATAACCACCCACAACTCAAACCCTCATGACCCCGAAGCCCCACAAAACACCAAAAAATTAATCATTCCTAATTCTTAGAAGAAGCGGGAGCCAACCCCTGAGGGTTTCTACCACCATTTCCTCAGAGCTCTACATTTCCCAGCCTACCTTCCTTCCGTGGGATCAGTTGGAGAGGCTTTCCGAGAAGAACGGCCGGGCCTTCTGGATCTGCTCCAGCCGATTCACGATGAACTGGCTTGTGTCGATGAAGCGCTCTACGCAGTTCACCAAACAGACCTCGGCCCGGCTGTCCAGCTTGGGCCCGGGTTTGTCCATGCACTTCTCCCAGCATAGCTCAGTCATGTGATGGACCAGCAGCTGCACCCGCTGCTTCTGTGTCTCCACCTCCACGAACTGCTGCAGCTGCGGGTCTGTGGCGTCCAGGCTGCTCACAGGCAAAGACCAGGAGGCCTCCATGCCTGTGAGCTGCAGGGACCGGAAGTGCTCCTGCCAGGCCCCGCCCACCACGTGCTGGGGGCGAGGGACCAGGAACCGGAAGTATGGTCTGTCTCAGTCCCTGCAGGCTGCTCCTCCTGGCTCAGCGTCTCCTAAGTTCACACTATTAGACTCCATGAAGCTTTTCAGATCTTTAGTGAACAAACCGATGCTTCTATGCAATGCCCGTCAAAATCAGGCTGAATGACTATGAAGAAGACGATGGTTAAATTGATGGAAGATCTGTTTTTGTGACCTTGGTTTATCCTAAACTTGTTGGGTTACATTCCCGAAGATAAAATTTGACTGGACTTTGAATTTTGAAAAAACAAAGAGGGCACTCTCTCTTCACCCACGGAAGCCCTACAGAGGGGCACTTAATGCTGACTGGACCCAATTCTACCAGGTCCTCATTAATGGCAATGTCTCCCTCCATTTTCAGACGTAGACCGATCATACTGTAGTCATCCTCACCTCGACCTCCTCGGCTTCAAGCAGAACATAGGGTCTTCGGGAGTGAGGAGCATTCTCAGGCCAGGACTTTAGACTGTTCCTTGTTGGTTCTGTTTTGTGTGTTCCAGCATTCCAAAATGGTATGAAAAGACATGGCCCCAGGAATAGACACTGTGAACTTAACACACGTGTACGACTTCAGCCAGCCTCCCATATCTGGTGTCACCGACTCATTCCCTGTGGAACATGAGCACTGGACCTTCGGAACTTTAACCCCGAGAAAATTTTGGTCAAAGATGGGAAGAAAAATTGAGAGGCCGCTAGAGGGCTGAGAGATGGTTTAGCGTTTAAGATGGTTTAAGAGTTTGTCGCTCTTGATGAGGACCGAAATAGCTCCCAGACCCACATGGCCGCTCACAACTATCTGCAACTCCAGTTCCAGGGGATTAGACACATCTTCTGAGTTCTGTGGGCACCAGGTCTTCGCAAACATACATGTGGGCAAGCACTTTTGATTTTTTTGGAAAAACATTTTAAAAAAATATTTTTTTTAAAAAAAAAAAAGAAGAAAATGTCACAGGAATGAGGTCACAAAGTTCTTGAATCTGGAGGAAATACAAGACAAGAAACCCCAGCTGGACAGGTTTTTGTTGCCCTAAAGGTAAAAAATACACTCACCCAAACCCTTTTCTTCTGTAGGCTGGGATGTGTAAGTGATGACCAATGAAACTCTTAGGCCATTCTCTACCTCCAATTGCTCTATTTTCCTTCTTGTCCCTTTTACATGTAATATTTTATATTATTTTAGAACACTATGCATCACAAGCTAGCCCTGAACTTGATAGGAAGCCTAGGCTGGGACCAGATTCCCAGTCCCCCACTTCTGTCCCGTGAGTTCTGGGGTTACAGGTGAATGCCATCACGCTAGTCAGGGATTAAGAAATCCTACTTTTTACCTTTTCCTCGGTGCTGGCGACCGAGTCCAAGACTTGTACACGCTGCTCAAGCACACTGCCATGGCGCCACATGCCCAGCTCTTTCCCCTTTAAATCGGGGAAACAGTAAAACCGGGGCCCTTTGGGGGCCATTTTGGAACACTTACTCTGGGCAATTAGAATTCATGTTTTCTCCTTGGGTGGCTCTCCTCATTTGGGCTGGAATAAACGTTTTGTTCTCTCACTTGGTGTGTCGTGCCTGGACTTTTCAGACTGATTGATGCTCATGTACCTGCATGGACACAGGTACTTAGCAGTCCCTTTCGTACACATGAACTTGGGGTGTGTACCTGGCTCACATACACAGTGGCTACTCAGTCAGTGCGTACTGAATGAATAATGAATGTACACAGTGTGAGGGGCATGCCATAACATCTTGCCTTTCTTGGGCTTCTTAGGTGGCACCATTTAACAAGGGCATGAAGGACATTGCTTAGTGAAGCTTGTGATCTGTGTGTCAGTCATCTCGAAATCCTGCTTCAGCTCTCCCTTATGCAGGGCGTAAGAAAGGAAATTTGTGGCAAACAAGATTTTATATATATTGTTTTATATATATATTATATGTAATATATATTATATATATATAATCTAAGTTATCTTTGACAGACCTAGAATTTGGAAGCAACATTTAGGATCCCAATTTACATATGGGAAAATTGGCTGTAGTGGTCTCTGTCAGTAGGAGGCAAGCTTGGGGGTGTGTTGACATATATTCTAGCCTACGGGAAACCAGAGCGTGTGGGAGGCTATGCCAAGTCACAGGGAACCGTGCGGGTGCTTTTCCAACAGGCAGCAGAGCGGCTTGCTGGAGCATTGTGCTTCACTTAGGTTTCGGAGCAAGCCTCTGAAGAAACTGAAAACAGCCACCCTTCAGTGACAAGAGGCTCGTGGCTGAGGCGCAGTCTAAATCAGTGCTGTATGACGTCCTTGTTTGTTAGCTACTCGTATAGTAGGAAAAACCGTTTTCTGTGAAAAGGAAAGAAGGAAGCGGTGGTGGCCAGAGGGCAGCCCAGCCTCTCCCTGTTGGTGAGCAGGCAATTTAATTTGCAAGAGAGTCAGCCCCTGTGAACGGCACCTCTTGGAGTCATGCCTATCTGGGTTGCGAATGTGTCTTCCCAGCTCCATTAAGGAGCCTTGCCCAAATCCCACACCCCAGGGAGTCTGGAGCCAGGGCCAACTCCCTCTACTTTTCTCCCGAAAGCTGAGCATATGTGAGTCCCCAGACAACCCTTCACGCTTTACCCGGCTCATTGCTCCAAGTTAGAGCGGAGTAGTGACTGCTCTTGAATTTCCTGATGCTGATGGCTTGGTTGTTACATATATGGTCTGAATCTCAGCCAGTGGGGGGGCACAGAAATGGAGCTGAAATGAAGCAGACCTCCTGGGTGACTTTCCTCCCTGCCCCTCCCTGTCATAGCCAAGCAGCAACCTGTGGCAGGGACATTACTTTGGTGGTCCCTGGGTTTTTTGTTTTGTCTTGTTTTTTTAGCAGGAGTATAAAGGGAGGAAGCTATAGAGTCTAGTACCACGAATGGATTCATTTCTACAGAAGGGCGGGTGCAAATGGGCACTTTTCCATGTCTCACAGACAGGAGAGCGGCAGGCTGTCTGTTCAACAGGTCTTTGCTGACATCTCTGTGCGTTGATGCCCTTAGTGAGTTAGAGGAGTTAGCAGGGACCCTCTTGGGTACCCGAAAGGCCTTTGATCAGATTGCAGATGCCCTCCCTTCACCCTGGCTCTTGGCTCCACCCCTCTCTGCCACTGTTGTAGTGCTCTCCTAACCGTACCCCGCTCGGCAGATTATGTCATTCCCAGAGTCACGTGCCATTGAGCAAACCTGCTGATGTATCCAGAACGGTTCTCGGCCTTGTATTTGGAGGAGACATTTCAGAGGACTTCCGGAAGCCCTTTTAGCTCTTCACACATGTGATTGTATTATTAATAATTGATTGCCCCTTAAGGGAACTATACCTTATTACCCTTCCCAGTCACACTTCTATGGGTCTCAAAGGACAGGTGCTTTTTGTGGGAAGGAAATGACGAGAGACTAACTTCATAGTAAGACCTCCATGAGTCGCAGTTCCTAGGAGCAGAGGGGGATCCGGGGGTAGTGGGTGGAATATTTTGTCCTATTGAGGAAAGAACCATGAGATTAGGTGCATGCAGAGCAGGGCTGAGGAGCATCCCTTTGGCGGGTCTGGGACAGCGCTTACAGCACAATCTGATGTAGTCTCTTTTCTGAGGTTTGTACCAACATCAAGAGGCAATGGAGCAGAAGACCCCAGTTGAGAGTTGGGTGGCCCCCGTCTGAGGCATCAGGTTCCACAAGCTTGGTGGTTTAGTAGCTCCACTGTGACTATTCAACCCGTGCCAACCTCCCTCGACCCACAGCTGTTGTCAGGGCTCCACCCGCTCCTCCTTGGGTGTGGCTTTTCTGTGGCTTCCAGCAGGGCAGAGCATCCTCAGCAACTGTTTCATGCCAAATACTAAGGGAAAGAAAAAGCGGAGATCTGTCCCCGGGCTCAGTTCGTTGGAGAAACAGAATACCCGAGTCCAGTGAGCTTCTGTCCAGGGCCAAACAAGCAAAGAGGGACAGGGGTTGTAAGTCCTGCAGAGGGCGGAGGCTTCAGAGGAGGGGCTGTGTCAAGACCTCCAGGGTAAGTGGGAAGGGGCACAGGCCGTCAGGCTGAGGAGGTAAACAGGGGCAATGAGTTAACTTGCAGCGTCCCACACAGCTGAGGCCAAAAGGTGGCACATCCTGGGGAGGAACCACAGGAAAAGCCAAAAGGAGGGCCTGCTGGAAGAGCCAGGCACTTGAGGAGCGAGTCTCAACCAGAGGAAATCAAGAAGTAGAAACAAGTTATCCAGTGGGTGCCAGATGTTCCGTGTGCGCTCAGCTTGCTTCCAGAAGGTGAACTGACTGTGGCTTAGACCCCCTTAGCTGAACTCTGCATGGTGTGAGGTCGAACCTGTTTAGGGAAGGAAGGGTAGAGGAAGAGGAGCCACCCTCCTGTTCACAGCCAGCAAGCTCAGGGCAGACACTGTACTTTGGGGGTGCTCTGTAGATGGCTGTATTCTAAAGGGTCAACACTTCATTGAGGACTCAAGTCAGCCTACATACCCATGGGATCCTGATGGGGTCCAGGTGGGTCGTGAGAGAGTGAGCAATGCATGTGTGTTTATGGGTATGTAGTGTGTGTGCAAGATCCTTAAAGCCAGAGCCAAGAGTAGAGCGGTAAAGGCAGATTTGAGGCAGGAGCTGTTGTAATAGGAGAAATGGGGCTTTGCCATAGGTTTCTTTCTGGAGTCAAGGTTACAGTTTTGCACATGGTAGGCAACTGCTGTACCGCTAAGCTGTACTCACAGTCCTTGCTGTCTGTAGGACTGGACTGTGTTAATACTCCACAGACAAGCGGCGGCCTCTTGGCAAAGGGCTGGGATGGAGAAGTAATTTACCAGAGTCTGAGCATTGCAACCAGGAGTTCTTAATTCTTCGCTCTGATAGGATTCCTGCTGAAAGTGGACAGAGGTATTCAGACATGG